TAACGTTGAGAACCCCTGCTCTACAATAACACATAACACATCCCCTACACACTCCACTCCCTGTGAGCGAACTCATGGGTGGGTGGAACATATAAGTGGACTTATGAGTGGGCCTTGTGGGCATACTCACCGTCAGGCCCTGGGGCCCAGACCTTGAGCTGTATAAGGGGCCCTCCCAAAAATGGAGCTGCTTCCAATTCTCCCAGAACATTGAATTTTGTGACCACAGTTGCAAACAGCCTCCAGAGATCCTGTTCTACACCAGACCAGTGGAGCCAAACTGCAGCCCATCATCATCCTCATTTGGTTGTAAGTAGGCAATCTAGTATATTATTAGTGACACTAATCTATAATTTTCATTACATTAAAGGGACACTATAGTCCCCAGAACGACTGGAGCTTAATGAAGTGGTTCTGGTATCTATAGCCGGTCCCTGCAGGCTTTTTAATGTAAACACACACTGTGAGCAGCACTGGCGTTAGTTCGTATGGCAGCTCATATAGGTGGGGCATTGTGATGTCACATGGGGGGCGGCAAATACAGCTGTTCCCCATGCAGCCACAGGTGCCACTGTGCTGAGAGATTGTGATTACTCTTCACTTCCTCCCAGCTTACAGAGCAGCGCATGGGAGAGAGAGGGGAGGAGGCATGATTTAATCTTACAACAAATCCAGTAAGCAAATCTTTATAAATTTGGGTGGGATCAGATCTGTTTCCACAGTTTATTGGTGTTTACTCTGCTGTCTGTATTAATATTGAGGGATTTCTAAGTAGTAACATCAGTGTGTGTCAGCAGGGCCAGCCATTGGGGTGTGCACGCTGTGCGGTCACGCAGGGTGCCATCACAACAGAGGCGCCCGGCGGACAACACAGCTCACAAGTTGGGGACACCAGCCTATTCAATTTAAACGATTCGCTGGTGGTCCACTGGTGCGCACCAGCAGTAGGTGCAGTCAGATTATAGCCTCTCCCTCATGGTTCCGGCGCTCAGTTAGTGAGTCAGAGCACAGGCTCAGAGATTCTCAGCCTGCGCTCTGACAACATTGAAAGTCAGAGCCGTGAAGGAGAGGGTATGGCAAAGAGCTACTGATTAGCATAACATCAATATCCGTTATAAATCCAGGAAAAGGTGGGCACCATTGCACTGATTTGGTGGTGCAATGGGCCTCTTGACTGGTTTTGCCCCCCAGGCCTAAGGCTGCCAGCCCTCCCCTGAGGACAGGCAAGGCAGGGCCGGCCTTCTGGATACAGGACAGGCAAGGCAGGGCCGGCCTTCTGGATACAGGACAGGCAAGGCAGGGCCGGCTTCTTGATACAGGACAGGCAAGGCAGGGCCGGCCTTCTGGATACAGGACAGGCAAGGCAAGGCAGGGCCGGCCTTCTGGATACAGGACAGGCAAGGCAGGGCCGGCCTCTGGATACAGGACAGGCAGTGCCGTGACATGTTTAGAACAAAACACTTTGACAGACCTCCCAAAATCCCAATTTTCAGCAGGACATTCCCAATTTTCAGCAGGACATTTTACACAACAGGAAATTTTACACAACAAGCATAGCACAAGCCCATCATTGAACATGCTCCCCCTCTGCATTAGGAAACTGCTGAGTATACTGAAACTGTCCTTTCTGCATGGTCCACCCTTTGTCCAGGTGGACATTCCTTTGGGTGGAGCCAGGGATGCAAATCACATCACTGGTCCTCCCCCCTTTAAACACTTTCACCACATCCATATGGACACAGAAGATGGGAGGTAAGCTTTGATAAATCTCCCTAATTGTTTAATGTCTCCTCCTCTATCCATGCTTGTTCTGTGCTGATTACAAGGTGCAGCCCTCTCTGTAATCCAATCCCGCTATTGTGAGGTCGTCAATCCTGATTAGCTCAATCTGCATTGAGGACACATAGGACAAGTGTGGCAGTCACTGAGATCTCCCAATCCAATACGTTTCATGCTTCGAGTGATGACACCGAATGTGAAGATCTGGAAAATTAAAGGATTTTAATGAGAAAACCCCATTGCTGGTTGTCTGTTTTCGGGACAATCTAAACATTGCTGTTTTCTATTAAAATGTAGTGATTATGGTGCTTAGAATACCCTTTTATTTTTATGGCAAATCTACTGTCTACATATCTTCATATGTACCTATAGAGCTATTTACCCAGTGCTGCCGTATAGTATAATACATACATATGAAAGGCTGACACACCATCCCAGTTCATGCAGAGGACTTGTCAATGCTTAACGTGTGAATGAGTGTTCGCCTGCGTGCTTTTTCTGTATATGTACAGCTCAGGCTTTGTATTCCCGTATCGCCTTCTAATAATCGCTTGCAGTAATATCTGAGAGGGATTAGCCTGGCTCATTATCATACGTTCGCCTTGGAACTGCTAGAAGGATAAAGGGTGATACATCAAACTCCAGAACTCTGTTTTTGGCATTTAATTTCTCCTGAGAGGCGTTTTGAATGTGCGCCAGGCAGGCCAGTACATTGCGTCTATTTTACTTTTTTTTTTTTTTTTCTACTTTCTTTTTTTTTTATTAGTTATTCAATCTCCTGTCTCAGAGTGCTTAAACAATAAAATAAAAATTATATATAATACGTGTGTGTGCACAACAAAAATATAATAATATTTAACTTTGTTCCCTGACTTGTTGGCCTCGGCCCAGTGAGACATCATGAAGTGTTTAACACTATAAACCTACGAATGGATATATTTGGGAAACACCGACCACTTTAAAGAGTTCCAAGGCAACCACATTATACTTTTACCCAATTGCAGCCCTAAAAGACAGAACCATATGGAGGCTTGTCATTTAAGGCTTCCACAATCTGACCAATAGCTGATGTCATAAAAACTTTTACCGTAGGCTAAACATGTATCTAGAACAGGAGTAAACAAACTACATCTCCCACTGTGCTTTGCCAACATTATGGCTGTAAGAGCATTAAAGGACCACTATAGGCACCCAAACCACTTCAGCTTAATGAAGTGGTCTGGGTGCCAGGTCCAGCTAGGATTAACCCTTTTTTCTGTAAACATAGAGAAACTGCTATGTTTACCTATGGATTAATCCAGCCTCTAGTGGCTGTCTCACTGGCAGCCGCTAGAGGTCTTCCGCACTTCTCAATGTGATTTTCACAGTGAGAAGACGCCAGCGTCCATAGAAAAGCATTCATAATGCTTTCCTATGGACTGGCTGAATGTGCGCGTGGCTCTTGGCGCGCATGCGCATTCAGCTGGTGACGGAAAAAGAGGGAGGAGAGGAGGAGGAGAGTTCCCCGCCCGGCGCTGGAGAAAGAGGTACGTTTAACCCCTTCCACCCCCTAGAGCCCGGCGGGAGGGGGGCCCTGAGGGTGGGGGCACCCTCAGGGCACTATAGTGCCAGGAAAACGAGTATGTTTTCCTGGCACTATAGTGGTCCTTTAAGGAGATATAGTCTTAACATCTAGAGTGCAGAATGTTGCCTATCCCTGATCTAGACCCAGAAAATGGGACGCCTTCTTAAAAATGTTGTCATGATTAATTGTTCAACTTCTCAGCGGCATCTTTAGGCCTCAATAAAGGGAGGATGGAGGACACTGAAGATGTAATCATGACAGATTTAATGTTTTTTGTTGTTGTTGTTTTTGCCCCCCAATACACGTTTAGACGGCCAGTAGATTTAATTTTAAAAAAGACTGATAAGGATCAGGATTGTTTCAGCCTTCTTATGGTTTCTGCTAATCTTTGTATACGTTGGACAAAATCACAACAATCACACATTGCACACTGCTTTTGTGATGTGAAGGAGTACTGCTCGGTGCAGGATCTGGCTGAACTCCAAGAAGCATTTTCAGAAAAATTCACTAATAAACCTAAGCCAATACGATATATATATATATATATATATTTTTTTTTTTGGCTGAGCATCGTTACCCATAGATCTCAAATCTGAACTGTGAGTATGATTAATCTCTCTCTGGGCTTGCTGTGGAATAATGCTGCCTTGCACTTTGCAGCTTACATTACACATTCCTCTCCTTCACGCAGTTGACCTGCACTGGCTTTAGGACCATTTTTCAATGACTTTAGCATCCTGACTTCCAGTCTCCCAACTTGACATCTAGCCCTGACTTTATCCTTTGCCAATTAGATGATTGTGATTGGCAGGTATACCAGCATTCTCTGCCCTATCACCAATCGTATTGCTGTTTGTTGTGTTGACCTTTGCATTGCACTATATCACACCCTGCCCCGTAAACTTGCACAAATCTAGGGTCTGGGTCATAATTGTCTTGCAAATTCCCCGTTAGCAAAACTGAGCTGTCTCTGCACCAGAAGGAACAAGTTATGAAACCCTTGAGGCATCTCCTAGTTATTACTGCCTTTGTATGCCCCAGGCATACAAGTTCTGCTGCAGCTCTAAAAAGCCATTTTGAGATTGCCGGGATGTGGCATATACTATTCACCTGCCACTCAGATTCATGAGTCAATTCTGCTATCCTTTCCAAGTTAGAAACTTAACCATCCAAGCCCTGTACACTCTTCAAGCAAAAGTTTGACTAGATCACCCGTATTACAGTTTTTTTAATTACTAGTAATGTGTGGTTGTATTTTTTTTTTGGACAGTTTCTAAAGCTTTTGTAATGTTAAAGAACAATGTTAACTGACTGACTACTTTATCTTTTTGATATTCTTTCTGAAAACCTCTGTTAAAATGTTGATTAGCATCTAATTTATGAGGCCTCCTTCAAACCCCTACTGCTTAGTATGCAACTTTGAAATATTAAAGTTTAACCTCTTTACTGCCGAGGTGTAACTCCACCTCCGGCAGCATTATTTGGGTGTACTCGGCCAGCTTAGAACTAGAATCCAAGACTGTCTAATGATAAATCTGGGCAAATTTATTTGCAGAGAATGTCATGAGAGAGGCCATCTGATACTCTTATCCAATGAATGACAACAGCATCGACATTCAGCATCTGCAGCTATGCAAACCATGAGAAAGCCTTGGATCACCAAACCATCAGGAAACCTCAGATCACCAAACCATCAGGGAACCTTGGATCACCACACCACCTGGAAACCTCAGATCACCAAACCATCAGGAAGCCTCGGATCACCAAACCATCAGGGAACCTTGGATCACCATACCACCAGGAAACCATCAGGAAGCCTCGGATCACCAAACCATCAGGGAACCTTGCATCAACACATCATCAGGAAACCTAGGATCACCACACCAGCAGGAAGCATTGGATTACCACATCATCAGGCACCCTAGGATCACCACACCAGCAGGAAGCCTTGGATCACCACACCAGCAGGAGGCCTTGGATCACCAAACCATTAGGGATCCTTAGATCACCAAATCATCAGGGAACCTCAGTTCACCACACCAGCAGGAAGCCTTGGATCACCAAACCATTAGGGATCCTTAGATCACCAAATCATCAGGGAACCTCGGTTCCCCACACCAGCAGGAAGCCTTGGATCATCAAAGTAGCAGGGAGCCTTTTAAAACAGTCTGGCCCAATCCCAGGGAATACAGCCAGGGTCCTCCTGGCATCATTACCACTATACACTATATAGCGGGCTCATTTGCCAAACATATATAAACAAATAACCTTCAATCTGATAATGCTAGAGGTACTTATAAAAGTACGAAAAGCAAATTAGTTGCTATGTGTACACAATTATTTTTCAAATGTAGAGCTCCCTATAAATTGTTACCATAGAACAATACATGGACAATAAGCTGTATTTTAGATTCTGTCAAATCATGTCAACATTAAATAACCATTTGTGATTGTTTTTAAGTAGATATCTTATTATTGTTGTTGTTGTGTGTTAGCTCCGTGCTATAATGACTCCGCTAGCCTGGCCTCTGAAGTGTGTGGAGGTTGAGTAAATAGGACTCTGTAACAATAGAACATTCACAGAGCGGTGCAGTGTGGTGTATGATAGGAAAGGCTATTAATCTTATATCTGTATCAGGGGACCATGCGGAGAGAGGCAGATGGAGAAACCGTGTGGAAGACACGCAAAAATCTATCTTGTATGGACATTGGTGTCTCATTTATAGAAACCTAAAAAGTATGGGTTTAATGGGATACAGTAACAGAAAATGGTTATTTTATATACATTTAACAATAAGACTAATTCATGTCCTGTTATTTAAAATCAAAAGTTCTATGTGTGTTTTCTGTTAATGTTTCTGATTTATTTTACGTTTTTCACCACACTTAGTAAAGTCTGTAAATCATCGTTGTTGTGCATTGGTTCCCAGTAAGAAATCCCAATATACGCCATTACCCAACAAGCACCACTCGCAAAACTGCTTATTAATTAACCCATCCCCCACTGCATGGAGATGAAAAGGCAAAGTAGGGCTGTTAAAGTGAATCTGTGTAGGAATTATTAACTTACCTGAAATCACTGCAACACACATTGAATACACCATATATCACAAAGTGACATGCTGTGTTCAGTGTAAAACACCTCTCCTCCGTTTCAGCGACGCCATCTTCGAGCTTCGTGGGCGTTACTCGCCATGTAACACCCACCTCCAGTCCGTCCTCTACTGTGCCTCTGGTCTTCTTCTATTTGCTATGATAGGAGGCGCTTCCCCAAGCATGGACAACCTCCTCAGTGATGCAGAGTTGCTAGTTTAGTTGCCAGTGTGCCAACGTTAGAACTGAGTGACGTCATGTTAAATGATACCTACGGGGGCAATAGTGTTTTATCTTAATTTTAGTAGAAGAAACATTTTGTAACAAAATTTGGACAGAATGGAATGTGGTAAAACATTTTAAACACATCAGACTAACCAAATATTCTTCAAGTGCCCCAGAGTAGCCAGTACCTGACAATTTCCATTCATGACACTAGATTGTTCTTGATTTTCATTGGTTTTAAATTGCTCTCTCCAAGGAATCCCACACCAGTTCCTACTAAAGTGGTCTTCAGATGTATGGCCAAAAAAAACCAAATTGGAAAACAAATCTCTAAGTGAGCTATGCTTCCAGTTACCGGTTTTGACCTTACATTTGAAATTTGCTTTGAATTCCCTTTGAATTCTAACTGTTGTGAATAACCCTTTCTGTCTTCTTGCAATAGTGCTCTTTCTATACATACAGTGGATCTGTGAGCTAAACGGCAAATTGTAGCCAATTGAAATCCATATGGCAACATTTAGGACAAATGAACTCATGTCAAAGCATACACCTGTATTTTCACATCTTGGTTATTTTAGCATGAGTTTTTACAATTCCTCTTTTTAAATTCACAGAGTTAGAAAAGTGGATAGCGGATAAAAAAAACTCTTCCTAAACACTGGCAAAACCATTACAATGATCTTTGGAACTGTACCTAAATTACGTAAACTACAAAATCAACAACTGTGTATCAGAACAAATTCAAATAGCGCACTGACAGCAGTCTGCTCTTTTAAATATCTAGGTATGTTGCTAGACCCCAATCTATCCTTTGGCCTTCATATTGCACTAAAAACGCTCTTCAATACTTTACCCAAAACTAGGTGCCCTGTACAGAAATAAATCCTGCCTAAGCCCTACAGTAAGGAAACAGATAGTGCAACAAATGCTAATGCCAGACATTGATTATGGGGATATAGTGTATGCACCCGCACCGCAAACCCACCTTAATAACCTAATACATTATATAATTCATTCTGCCGCTTTGTACTAGACTGTAATTACTTTACCCACCACTGTCACATGTTAAAAGAGCTAAACTGGCTGTTGCTGGAATCCCAACGCACTCTTCATCTTTCCAGCCTTGTGCATAAGAGCATTTCTGGGAAGCTCCCACCCTACCTGAGTAGAATTCTCTCCCCGGCTGTTCCCACCTCCTATAACCTCTGATCCAGTACTAGCATGATATTTAGCATACAGCAATACAAAAATAAAGTGGCTCGATCCTCATTTTCCTACAGAGCTCCGCAATTACGGAATAACCTCAGGGACACAGTCAAATCTTCATTCAATCTAAAATCTTTTATGAGATCTATGGCAACATACCTCAGCACAGAATGCACCTGTCATGGTTGAATATATTTATTACCTGTTATGTATTAAGTGTATATATGTGTGTATATATATATATATATATAGTTTGTATATTGTGTTTGTAATATTGTATCCTATTGTAACAATGCAATGCTTTGTGGACCCAGGACAAGCAAGAGAAATCTCAATGTATCCATCCTGGTAAAATATTTTATAAATAAATAAAATAAATAAATTACCCTTCTAGTTAATTAGCCCTATTCAATTAAAAGGACACTCCCAGCACCATGGCCACTTACATAACGACGGATACCGGTTGACGGATCCACGTTTTTTTGTACCTGGGACATGGTAGGTCAAGCTGGATGTGATGTAATCAGTATTCTGTTTTTTGCCATATTTAATGACATGCAACTTAGTTCATTATTTGTCTTGTAAATATTTTAATTATTTTATAGTCCGGTTCCAATTCAGTATAGATAGTTTCTTAGCTAGATCTATTTAAATAGCATGTGTCTTCTCTCAGTGTGGGACAAATCTGACTGCTCCCTCTCACTCAGTCTGTAGATAGATAACTACAATGTTATATGCCCCTTATTTATTCCTGCTGCGTATTACAGGAGCCAGGTTGTATGACCCTAACCAATCCATATTGTATTGGTAGAAACCATGCAAAGATTTGTTCTTTGCACCAGATGGGCATGAGTCACTGTGTGTTCTTGGCAATCTGACCTCCTTGTAGGTCCCTTGCTTTGGTAGCCCCTCCAGGTAGCTGGTCCTGTGCTGGCAGTGTTAGTCAGATGGCTGGGTATTGCTCCTTCCCTCGGCTAACGCCAAGCAGCTGTGCTCAGTTTGCATGACTACTTCTGTAAACAGATCAGAACATCTTCATCATCAGTTTTGGAGTGCACTGAGCGTTTTAGGCAGATGTGTTTTGTATTTTTTTTTTTTTTCACTTTGCATGAATAGAACTGCGGCAACCGCCAGGACATCACTGATAGATGGCAAACCAGCTGATGTGAAATGGGTGTCACTGAGCCCACACCATTCAAAGAACTTTACTTCTCAATGGGGTCTATTAATTAAAGGAGGAATTGTGGGGAACAGGCAAAAGAATTCAAAATCTCTGGCTGAAATAGCCATTGAGAACATTTTACCAACTTAGCAAATTTGGCCCAACTTGTGCAATTTCTAGGTCAATTCTCGGCAATCTCAGTTTAAAGCATAAACACTGCAATTTGTTTTGAAGATCAAAGTTAATTCAAAATAAGATTAAAATAAGTGTCCCGCAGATTTTTCAGGGTGTCTTTAGCGGACAAACGTATTCTAAAATTATATAGATTAAGGAACAGTGCACACATAAAAATAAATTTTTGTAATTTTATAAGGCTACTTAAAATCACCTATCGCAGCAAACAAATTCAAAAATGTATTTTATGTGTGCACTGTTCCTTAATCTGTATTATGTATGAATTGTAGTCATTACAGCAGCACCATTCCTACAAAATACATGTTTCGGGTGTGCACCCAATTCCTTTTTTTCCAAACCTATTCTAAAATGTAGTCATTTGCATCCCTTGTCTGTATCTTGTCTGCAGCGTAATCACTAGTTTTAATACTCTTTATCATTCATGGCTAGTCTTGGCACCCCAGGTGTTGATGGATCATGTTTTGCCAGGATGCTCAAAAGAGCACTAACCCCGTTAAATAGAGTTCTGTGACACTCGGCCAGCCCTTAGCATCAACAAGCTGCATGAGCATCTCAGAAAATGGATGTCACAAATATTTGGTGTTATGTTTTTTTTGTTTGTTTTATTTTAGTTGGTTTTACACTTTATGAAGCACGCTAGCCATTTATAGCACAGGATGATTAATTTATATATTTTTTTATTATCAAATTGAGAGTACAAAAAAATAATTTGCCATGGTCCGATGTTAAGAGGCTTATTCACAAAACCATCAACCGACGTCTGCATTGCATGCTTTAAGCCAGAATGAGATTTTTTACACCTGAACTATTTTATTTATTGAATAAGCCCCCTCGGGTAATACATTTTTGATTACCAATTATTTGTGTGTGTGCATACTTATCTGTATACACGCAAGCGTGCCTGAATTTATATACGTGTGTTAAGAGATTACAAAAATAGCAATGACATGATATATTTCTGAAATTTGACTGGTTTTAAATATTTAAATGCAGCTAATGCTTTTCGACATTTAC